TTTTACCTTATTTGAGGAAACCCCGCCCCCCCAGACACACCCAGCCCTCTCATTGGATATAGTCCAGAGGCCACGCCCCCTCAGACACACCCAGCCCTCTCATTGGATATAGTCCAGAGGCCACGCCCCCTGCTTGACCAAACTGCACCACCTCGTCAAAGAACCAGAACCAGTCCGCTGGGAGCTCAGCCCCTCACTTTATCTCTCTCTCTCTCTCTCGCTCTCTCTCTCTCTGCTTTACTTCTACCACGCTCACCCCCTTCCAGTCCAGCCAGTGTGACGCTTTTATTCTGAAAGGGTTGGCCACAGTCCAGCTAAAAGCCAAACATTTTGATTATTTTAACCTCCGTATGAAGTACGAAGCTCCTGCAAAGAAAGAGAGCTTCAAAGAGAAATTTAGAGACAACAAAAAGTAGATTTTAATTAAAAAGATTCCTCAATTATCAGCTAATTACCTAAAAATATATCAAATTATATTTATATAGAAAATAGAAATAATAACTGAATTTATGAATTAAACTTCTTGAACTAATGAGGGTTTTAATTTCCTGCCTGACGGTTAAAGAGCGAGGCGTCACTCCGGTTGAAAACTCCAGACCGGAAAAACAACAACAACCAATGCTAGCCACGGGACAGCTAGCCGCCGGCTAAAGGCCGTCTCCATCGTCTGGCAGCAGGTGGCGCCGTGGTTGCAGCAGGAGAAGAAGAACAGGAAGCGGGAGGAGGAGCTTGGTGATTGGCTAACCTTCCCGGCTCGCGCTGCGGTGGTCGGCCCCGAGGCCGCGGTTCCGACGGCGTCCGACGTTTGTGACGAACACGGCGAGCCACCTGGTGGACGTCCACGCTCTCGTCCAATGGGAACAGGGCACACAGCTGAGCACCGATGTCCGGCTGGATTTCCTGAAAGACATCGGACCAGAACCAGTTGAACCAGAACCAGTGAAACCAGAACCATTGGAACCGGAACCAGAACCAGTGGAATGAGAACCAGTGGGACCAGAACCAGTTGAACCAGAACTATAACCAGTGGAACCAGAACCAGTGGAACGAGAACCAGTGGGACCAGAACCAGTTGAACCAGAACTATAACCAGTGGAACCAGAACCAGTGGGACCAGAACCAGTGGGACCAGAACCAGTGGGACCAGAGCCAGTTGAACCGGAACCAGTGGGATCAGAACCAGTGGGACCAGTTAAAATGAAAGCAGGAACTCACCTGTCCGTCGCGTCCTATCTTCACCGGCTTGTGTTCGTTCCAGGGGTTGGACAGGTGAGCTGTTTTAGTGAAAGGAAGCTCCCTCCTGTCAAAATAAAAGCATGGCACTGAGGAACTGAAGCTACATTCTAATAACAATAATAAGAACTTATTATTGACTCTGCAGAATCAATAAGTTCTTATTGAATCTCTGCAGAATCAATAATAAGTTATTTTCTTACATTGTTATTATTATTCAATTCAATTACATTTTATTTGTATAGCGCCAATTCATAACAGAAGTTATCTCAGGACACTTTTCAAATAGAGCAGGTCTAGACCGAACTCTTTATAACATTAATTACAGAGACCCAACAGTACCACCATGAGCAAGACCTTGGAGACAATGGCAAGGAATTTGTCACTTGTTGTTGTTGACAACATGGAACCAGCTCCTGGTTCAGGAGGATCAGAGCTCACGAACCGCTCAGCTGGCTCGCACACACATTATTGTTTAATCTTAAAACTTATAGAAAGGCCCTCTGTAAGCCCAGAGGAGCCTATTACTCAGCACTAATAGAAGAAAATAAGAACAACCCTAGGTTCCTCTTCAGCACTGTAGCCAGGCTGACAGAGAGTCACAGCTCTATTGAGCCACATATCCCCATAAACTTAAGTAGCAATGACTTCATGAGCTTCTTCTATAATAAAATTATTACTATTAGAGAGAAAATTAATCACCAACTGCCATCAACAGTTATCAGTGGCTCTCCAGGTTCAGGGACTTTTGCTAATGTAAACTTAGATATATATTTAGACTATTTTTCTGCTATCGATCTTCATCAGTTAACTTCAATCATTTCTTCATCGAAGCCATCAACCTGTCTATTAGACCCGATCCCAACTAGGCTGCTTAAAGAAGTTGTTCCCTTAATTGGCACTTCTTTACTGGATATGATTAATCTTTCTTTATTATCAGGATATGTACCACAGTCCTTTAAAGTAGCTGTAATTAAACCCCTTCTTAAAAAGTCCACTCTTGACCCAGGGGTTTTAACCTCCCTTTCCTCTCTAAGATTCTGGAGAAAATAGTCGCCATAGAGTTGTGTGACTTTCTACATAACAATAGTTTATTTGAGGATTTTCAGTCAGGATTTAGAGCTCATCACAGCACAGAGACAGCTCTGGTTAAAGTTAATAATGACCTTCTGATTGCTTCTGACAATGGACTTGTCTCTGTACTTGTATTATTGGATCTTAGTGCTGCATTTGACACCATTGACCATAATATTCTTTTACAGAGACTTGAGCATCAAATTGGCATTAAAGGAACCGCACTAAGCTGGTTTAAGTCATATTTATCAGGTTGTTCGCAGTTTGTACATGTTAACGATGAATCTTCAATAAATACTACAGTTAGTCATGGAGTTCCACAAGGTTCTGTACTTGGACCAATACTATTTACTTTATATATGCTCCCTTTAGGCAACATTATTAGGAATCACTCCATTAACTTTCACTGTTATGCAGATGATACGCAGTTATATCTATCAATCAAACCCAATGAAATTAATCAATTATCTAAATTACAAACATGTCTTAAGGACATAAAATCCTGGATGACCTGCAATTTTCTGATGTTAAACTCAGAAAAAAACAAAATTCTTGTTCTTGGCCCCAAAAACCTTAGAGACACACTGTCTAAAGATATAGTTACTCTAGATGGCATTACCTTGGCCTCTAGCATCACTGTCAGGAATCTTGGAGTTATCTTTGATCAGGATTTGTCATTTAACTCCCACATAAAGCAGACCTCTAGGACTGCCTTCTTTCATTTACGTAATATTACAAAAATTAGAAACTAATCCATGCATTTGTTACTTCAAGGCTGGATTACTGCAACTCTTTATTATCAGGTTGCCCCAATAAGTCCATTAAAACGTTCAAATTAATTCAGAACGCTGCAGCACGAGTACTGACAGGAACTAGAAAAAGAGATCACATCTCTCCTGTACTAGCTTCTCTGCATTGGCTCCCTGTAAAATGTAGAATAGAATTTAAAATCCTCCTCCTCACCTATAAAGCTCTTCATGGTCAGGCCCCTTCATATCTTAAAGAGCTCATAGTACCCTATTACCCCTCTAGAACACTACGTTCTCTGAATGCTGGGCTACTTGTGGTTCCTATAGTCTCTAAAAGTAGAACAGGAGCCAGAGCCTTCAGTTACCAAGCTCCTCTCCTGTGGAACCAGCTTCCAGTTGTGGTTCTGGAGGCAGACACCCTCACCACATTCAAGAGTAGGCTTAAGACATTCCTCTTTGATAAAGCTTATAGTTAGGGCTGGATCAGGTGAGTCCTGAACCATCCCTTAGTTATGCTGCTATAGGCCTAGACTATCGGGGGATTTCCCATGGTGCACTGAGCTCCTCCCTTCCTCTCTCTTTCTGCACTCATTCATGTTCCATTAATGCATGTTACTAACTTCACTTCTTCCCCGGAGTTCTTGTGCTTTCTCGTCTCGCAGGTTCTTATTGATCCTGGTGGAGCCTCCTGCCATGGTCCTGCTAGATTGCCATTGCCAATACTGTTGTTGCTGTGCACCTGTCTGTCTCTCTCTCTCTCTCTCTCTCACTCCAACTGGTCGAGACAGACGACCACCCACCTAGAGCCGAAGGATCTGTCCTAGGTTTCTGCCTTTTAACAGGCAGTGTTTCCTTGCCCTTGTCTCCAAGGTCTTGCTCATGGTGGTACTGTTGGGTCTCTGTAATTAATGTTTTAAAGAGTTCGGTCTAGACCTGCTCTATTTGAAAAGTGTCCTGAGATAACTTCTGTTATGAATTGGTGCTATACAAATAAAATTGAAATGAATTGAATTGTTGTTGTTGTTGTTGTTGTTTACCTGCAGAGCCAGTCAATCTTAAAAACTCCACCCAGCATCTTGGCGTTCATTCCAGCAGGTAGAACCCAGTGGATCGGAGATCCTCCATGATGAGACTCAGACGCCAAACGAGCGAAACCTAAAAACGCAGCAGACATCATCAATTTAAAACCAACGAAGAAGAGGAAGCAGCAGCAGAAGAATAATGAGTCACAATCTTATTATTATATTTATATTATATTATGTTATTATATTTATATTACTATATACTACATTATATATATAATATTTATATTATTATTATATATTATATTATAATATATTATGTTATTATATATATCATATTATTATTTATATTATTATTATATATTATATTATTATATTTATATTATTATTATATATTATATTATAATATATTATGTTATTATATATAACATATTATTATTATATTTATATTATTATTATATATTATATTATAATATATTATGTTATTATATATATCATATTATTATTATATTTATATTATTATATTTATATTATAATATATCAGTTATTATATATAACATATTATTATTATATTTATATTATTATTATATATTATATCATAATATATTATGTTATTATATATAACATATTATTATTATATTCATATTATGTAAAGAAATCTTCCAACCTTGGAATTTCCCGCTCTCCCTCACAGAGAAGACGAGGACGACGCTCCTCGCTGAGCGGAAAGCTGCATTCAGCTTCTTCTCATTCACCGGCAGCGTTGACCAAACGCCCTGAACACCAGCAGCATATTGATTAGCATATTGATTAACATATCAACTTATTGATCACACATTAACATGTAAACATCAGCTGACCTTGGCTTTGGCCAGAGAGACGTTCTCGTGGTTGTTGCTCTTTATGAGGAAGAATCGAGCGTCTCGCAGGATGTAACGCAGCTTACTGGTTGGATCTGAAACAGGAAGAGTAATCTGATTACTCTGCTGACTGGAATCTGTTCACTGGCTGTGATCTGATTACTTTGCAGCATTTAACATGTACAGTGAAATAAAGATGGCCGCCTTACTCTCCATCCCTTTGCGAACGGCTCGGACCGACGACGACAGCTTCTCCCGCTTCTTCTCTGAACCTTTCACAATAAAAGCACAGCATTAACTCAAAGTGAGCTATTTGATTTTATATGAATGTTATTGATTAAACTGGACCGTTAATTGCTTCTTAACCTCAGGGATCAATACATATAATTGATTACAATATACAGAAAAGCTTTACATTTAAGCCTTTTGTTGTCACGGTTACCTGAAGCCTCGGAGGCGGAGCCTGAGTGCACGGACTCTCCATCATCAGAGAAGCTGACAGAGGAGGCGGAGCGTGAGTCACCAGCCTCACTGCGGGTGTCGTAGTCGTTCCCTTCGCCGCCACGCCGCTCATACTCCTCCTCTTCCTCCTCCTCGTCTTCCTCCTCTTTCTCTCCCTCCTCGTCCTCCTCCTCCTCCTCCATGCCCTCCTCTTCCTCCTCCTCCTCTTCATCCTCCTCTTGATCCTCCTCTTCCTCTTCCTCTACGTGAGAGGCAGCTGGGGAGGAGCTTCCTGACCCCGGCTCTGAGCCGTACTCTGCTGCTGCCTCCTCTTCTGATTGGTTGTCCTCCTCGTGGGGGGAGGGGCTCACCCGCCTCAACTTCTGACGACAAACAGGAAATGAAGATGGCGGTCAGGAAATGTTTTGTAGTGAATGTGTTCTGTACATTAGCAGTAATAGAAGTATTATCAGTACCTGGCTCAGACCCTCCAGGCCTCTCTGAGACTCTCGCCGACGTACTTCCTCTCCCCCGCGGCTTCTCGGCGCCTCTCGGGCTCCACGGCGCCCCTTTTGCTCCTCGTAGTATTCGTGGCGGTATCCGCCACTGGCAGCAGTGTGGCGGCCGCGAGGACTGGAAGTCACTTTCTTTGACGAGGAGGAGGAGAGAAGTGGACCCGGGGCTCTCTTATTGGTGGAGGAGGACCTGGAGGGGGCGTGGCAGGATGAGGGACGGAGCCTCTTCAGATCCTGGCTGTCAGCGCGCTCGCTCTTCCTCTTTGTTCCTGACAGACAGAACGGAGGGTTTAGTTGACACGACTACAGTTTCACTTGTAGTACTATTAGAACTATTAGTACTATTATTATTATTAGTAGTAGTAGTAGTACTATTATTATTATTATTATTATTATTATTATTAGTAGTAGTAGTACTATTATTATTATTATTATTAGTAGTAGTAGTAGTAGTAGTAGTAGTAGTACTATTATTATTATTATTATTATTATTATTATTATTATTATTAGTAGTAGTAGTACTGTTAGTAGTATTATAATTATTATTATTAGTAGTAGTAGTAGTACTATTAGTAGTATTATTATTATTATTAGTAGTAGTACTAGTAGTAGTAGTAGTACTATTAGTAGTATTATTATTATTAGTAGTAGTAGTAGTACTATTAGTAGTATTATTATTAGTAGTAGTAGTAGTACTATTAGTAGTATTATTATTATTATTAGTAGTAGTAGTACTATTAGTAGTATTATTATTAGTAGTAGTAGTAGTACTATTAGTAGTATTATTATTAGTAGTAGAAGTAGTACTATTAGTAGTATTATTATTATTATTATTAGTAGTAGTAGTAGTAGTAGTACTATTAGTAGTATTATTATTATTAGTAGTAGTAGTAGTAGTAGTAGTACTATTAGTAGTATTATTATTATTATTATTATTATTATTATTAGTAGTAGTAGTAGTAGTAGTACTATTATTATTATTAGTAGTAGTAGTACTAGTAGTAGTAGTAGTACTATTAGTAGTATTATTATTATTAGTAGTAGTAGTAGTAGTAGTACTATTAGTATTATTATTATTAGTAGTAGTAGTAGTAGTAGTACTAGTAGTAGTAGTAGTCTATTAGTAGTATTATTATTAGTAGTAGTAGTAGTAGTACTAGTAGTAGTAGTAGTACTATTAGTAGTATTATTATTATTAGTAGTAGTAGTAGTACTATTAGTAGTATTATTATTAGTACTTATTATCTCCAGAAGTGATTCCTGACAGCTCCTTTTGTCTTTCTGCCCCTGGCTAAATAATCCTCGTGCTGTTTCGTGTGGTGCTTTTTTAAATGTAGGATTGTGTTCGTAGTGTTGTACGACGCGAGGGAGCTTCCTCCTCTCTGAATCACGGCTTTGCTAGCTGGCTGCAAACTGCTGAATGGATTTCCTGAGCGGGAGCGTGTCTCATGACTCTGTGTCTCATTGAGCCGCGCCTCCGTTCAGGAAGTCCATTCCACAGTTTGCAGCCAGCTAGCAGACTGGCCGGCAGGAATCACCTGTGGAGTCAGTCAGCAGACAGCGTTAAAGCGCAGACATGGCTCATGGATATCGGAAATCTGCGCAGGTTGGATCGGGAAAATCCGATACAAGAATTACGCTGGAATCGGTCCCGATACTGGATCGGATCGGCCCCATCCCTAGTATCAGTAATATCAGTAGTATTATTAGTATTAGTTTTATTAGTACCTTTCTTGTCGCTGACGTCTCGCTCAGTCTCGGGGTTGTACAACTCGTCGTCCTGATCTGGAGCTTCAGTCAGAATATCTTCCAGAACGTTCAGTTCTCCATCTGCAACAAAAACTTTATTTTAATACCCCACAGTTTACAACCAATAAAGCTTTCATTATGATTGTAACATAAAAGGTGTAAGGGGGGGCAATAGTGGAGGGACGGGGCAACAGTGGAGGGAGGGGGCATTAGTGGAGGAGGGAGGGGGCAATAGTGGAGGGAGGGGGCAATAGTGGAGGAGGGGGGGCAATAGTGGAGGGAGGGGGCATTAGTGGTGGAGGGAGGGGGCAACAGTGGAGGGAGGGGGCATTAGTGGAGGGAGGGGGGGGCAATAGTGGAGGAGGGGGGGGCAATAGTGGAGGGAGGGGGCAATAGTGGAGGGAGGGGGCAATAGTGGAGGGAGGGAGGGGGCAATAGTGGAGGAGGGAGGGGGCATTAGTGGAGGAGGGAGGGGGCAATAGTGGAGGGAGGGGGCAATAGTGGAGGGAGGGGGGGGCAATAGTGGAGGGAGGGGGCAATAGTGGAGGGAGGGGGCATTAGTGGAGGAGGGAGGGGGCATTAGTGATAACACAAAGGGCGGTGTTAACAAGGTTTGGCTATAAAGTCATATTTTTCTTATAAGAAAGTATTGATCAGATCAGTCACATGCCGCATTGATCAGACCCATTGATCAGATCAGTCACATGCCGCATTGATCAGATCCATTGATCGGATCAGTCACATGCCGCATTGATCAGACCCATTGATCAGATCAGTCACATGCCGCATTGATCAGATCCATTGATCAGATCAGTCACATGCCGCATTGATCAGACCCATTGATCAGATCAGTCACATGCCGCATTGATCAGACCCATTGATCAGATCAGTCACATGCCGCATTGATCAGATCCATTGATCAGATCAGTCACATGCCGCATTGATCAGACCCATTGATCAGATCAGTCACATGCCGCATTGATCAGATCCATTGATCAGATCAGTCACATGCCGACATTGATCAGATCAGTCACATGCCGCATTGATCAGATCCATTGATCAGATCAGTCACATGCCGCATTGATCAGACCCATTGATCAGATCAGTCACATGCCGCATTGATCAGATCCATTGATCAGATCAGTCACATGCCGCATTGATCAGATCAGTCACATGCCGCATTGATCAGATCCATTGATCAGATCAGTCACATGCCGCATTGATCAGATCCATTGATCGGATCAGTCACATGCCGCATTGATCAGATCCATTGATCAGATCAGTCACATGCCGCATTGATCGGATCAGTCACATGCCGCATTGATCAGATCAGTCACATGCCGCATTGATCAGATCCATTGATCGGATCAGTCACATGCCGCATTGATCAGCCGGTGTTGAACTCATGTGATTAAATGAGTTGAACTCAAACGGAGTAGAAACAGCAGATTTCTGAATGGACTCTGGTGTGTTAGCTGTTAGCTGCAGCGGCTAATGGACGCCATAATGAATGACAGAGAACACGTCGACGAGCCGCTGCTGCTCCACCGACTGTTAGCTGACTCACTGATTATATATCGACTGATCGATTGTTGCTGATCAGCAGAACAAAGACAGCACACATGCTAACAGCTAGCTGATGCTAACAGCTCGTGTCTCACCTTTGTCCTCGCGCCGGTCGGCCGCCATCACAGCCGCTGTGACGTGTCCTTTCTCGCGCTCAATTAACGATGCGGATCGATCAGGTTTCTGATCAATTTAAAGAGGAAATAATCAGAAAATCAGGCTGAACGCCGCAGAGAAAGAAAATGGCGACGGGAGGCTGTTGTTGTGGAGTCTTCTTCTTCTTCTTCTTCTTCTTCTTCTGCTGCTGCTGAGAGACGGAACCATCGCCACCTGGAGGACCGGAGCAACTTCCGGTTTGTTTATTAACTTTATTAAGTAAACAAAACATTCAATAACTTCCAGAACCTGTAAAACACGTCACTGCATTTACATTGTATACGTCATATAACGGAATTAATGTTCAAAATAAATCTAAAAAGTCATAATTGAGTGAACTGAATATTATTATTAATAATATTATTAATATTGTTGAATAATGTTGAATCTGTGTTGAAGGACAACAGGTGTAATAACCAGCGTTAGTTACTCAAAAAATGTGTTACTCATTACCCTTTTATAAAGTAATGTAATTACTTTACTTTTTATTATTTATTATTATTATTATTATTATTATCTTTTATAAGCTACTCTTTGTGCTCTTGTTATTTTTTATTCTGCCCTTTCTGTATGCTGTTGCAAACTGCAATTTCCCCATTGCAGGACAAATAAAGGTTTTCTTATCTTTCTTATCTTATCTTTTACTCCCTGCCAACAGTAATTAGTTACATTACTAGTTCTTGAGAAAAGTAATATTATTACTCAACACTGGTAACAACACAGTGTTTAATGATTATAACACAGGTTATAAGTTCATTCGACATGTATTCAGTTTCCCTTGAAGACCAAACAAATAATAATAATAATAATCAAATAATTCATAAGGTTGCTAAACTTTTGTCTCTGACTTTATTCACATTCATTCTTTAATTAAAGCTTTGTGCAGATATTTTTATTTTATCATTTGTTTTTTTATTCTTGTTCTTCATGAGTTTATTTTGTTTCTTTATTATTCTTATAAATTATTAACATTATTTCATGTTCTACACGAGTCAGTTGTTCAAAATGTGTTATTCATTTTTATTTATCACATTTATAAAAACCTTTTTCTAAAGTGAACTGATTTAATATGTAAATTTAAATGATAAGTTTATTAGTTTAGAGTTAATAAAAATACATAACAATGGTTTGTTTTATGATTAACAATCTCCTGCTGTGTTTCATTGATTAGTTTATGGATCAGAAATTTACTGAAGATACAATCTGATGACACAGTTCCGATGATAACCCTGTCTCACCTGTACCTGTCTCACCTGTACCTGTCTCACCTGTACCTGTGTGTTTGTGTTAAATATTAAAAACCATTGGATACGAAATCAACCAGATTTATTGAACTATTGGTTACAAATAAATTATTGATCATCAAACTGAGTAACTGCAGCTGACTGAGAAGTGTGAAGGGTTTTATTTTGAAAATCCAGTAGAGGAAGTGTTTGCTGTTGACTCGAGCAGCTTCCGCGTGCGGTCAGACCGCAAGTCCACGTCATAACAGGGAGAACTGAAGACAGACTCAGTGAGACCCGGTCCCAGAGTGAGACCCGGTCCCAGAGTGAGACCCGGTCCCGGACTGAACCGTCTTTAATTAAAACCGGATCTCCGGACAGGAAATGGCGGACGAGGCCACGCGCCAGGCGGTGTCTCAGATCCCGCTGCTGAAGACGCACGCGGGGCCGCGGGACCGCGCGCTGTGGCCGCAGCGGCTGAAGGAGGAGTACCAGGCCCTGATCCGGTTTGTGGAGCAGAACAAGGGGGCCGACAACGACTGGTTCCGGCTCGAGTCCAACGCGGACGGCACGCGCTGGACGGGCACGTGCTGGTTCATCCACGAGCTGCTGCGCTATGAGTTCCGGTTGGAGTTCGACATCCCGGTCACGTATCCGGTCACCGCGCCCGAGGTGGCGGTCCCGGAGCTGGACGGGAAGACCGCCAAGATGTACCGGGGCGGGAAGATCTGCCTCACGGACCACTTCGCGCCGCTCTGGGCCCGGAACGCGCCGCGCTTCGGTCTGGCGCACCTCATGGCGCTGGGACTCGGACCGTGGCTCGCTGTGGAGGTCCCAGACCTGATCAGCAAGGGGCTCGTGGTCCACAAAGAGCAGCAGCGCGACGCGGCGGCGGAGTGACGTCACCGGCCCACCAACACCTGAGCACGAGGGCCGGAGAGTGACCGACAGTAAAAGCGACGAGAAAATGAACAGAGTTTGGTGGAGAGCGAGAAGTTATCAGTTTCTGTCAGCATGGGCAGGAGGCTGGGGGCTGGGGGCAGGAGGCAGGGGGCTGGAAGCAGGGGGCAGGAGGCTGGAAGCAGGGGGCTGGAGGCAGGAGGCAGGGGGCTGGGGGCTGGAAGCAGGGGGCAGGAGGCTGGAAGCAGGGGGCTGGGGGCAGGAGGCTGGAGGCAGGGGGCCAACATGCAGCTCTTATGAGTTCATATGAAACGTTTAGTCAGGACTTAAATAAAAACATTTTATTAGAATAATTATTTTTCTGTGAAACACAAACGTTGTGAGGTTTGATTTCAGGACAAAATGAGAAATATGTTTGAAGACAAACTGGAGTTTTTATAAAATCATTCAAACATTTATTTACATAAGTATTAATTCTCTATTAATGTAAAATAACAAACAAGTACAACAAATAAAAGTTATGAGAAAAACCTTTCTTCATGTCTCATCTGCATCAATAATACTGTTAAACTTCCAGTAAAAGCAGGGTCCCCAATATCAGTCTGTTTGCTGTCTGTTTACTGTTCACGTTCAGTGTCAGAGGAAAAAGAACGACCTGAAATTTACCGTAAGTTACCTGATAGTCGTCAAATTTACTGAACAAACTGAAGAGAAGCAGCAGAGAACTTCCATCTGTGCTGAAGGAATTAAAGGCCTGTCCCCAATAAAGGCCTGGGCTGTTTTGTTCTGAAGTTTTACGGTAATAATTAATACTCAGGGAGATTCAATAAACACATTTTAGTTGTTTATTTCCATTCAGTTGCGTGAGCTTTGATATTTATTCACATTTGAACTGATTGACTGTGATCAGAGATCAATAACATTGACAACAGGCAATACATGGAGCCGTTATTGTTACAATATTCACAAATGTGAGCAGAGAGTTTGAGTAACTAACTCGTCTGTGATCAGATTTATACATATATGTACATAGATCTGTCGGGGGGGGTAGGAGAGATGGAGGTCAGGCGTCTGCGTGCCTCTGAAGGCCTGAGCAGGGTCATGGCAGGGTTAGCTGCGGCGTGCCAGGAACCAAAACCGGCAAGAAAACCTCGTCAGCCTGGCCTCCATGGGACCTGAACTGATCATCGTTTCCAACTCTTGGAGCAAATACACTGCTCAGACATTAATATGTAGGTCTGCATTTACACATTATGAATCTGATTACACACACACATTGAGATACACACATTTACAAATAGTTGTTCTACAGTAACTGCTCCATAGATCGATGACTACTCCATCCATAGATCGATAACTGCTCCATAGATCAATAACTGCTCCATAGATCGATAACTACTCCATCCATAGATCGATAACTGCTCCATCCATAGATCGATAACTGCTCCATAGATCGATAACTACTCCATAGATCAATAACTGCTCCATAGATCAATAACTGCTCCATAGATCGATAACTACTCCATCCATAGATCGATAACTGCTCCATCCATAGATCGATAACTGCTCCATAGATCGATAACTACTCCATAGATCAATAACTGCTCCATAGATCGATAACTACTCCAGCCATAGATCGATAACTGCTCAATAACTGCTCCATAGATCGATAACTACTCCATCCATAGATCGATAACTGCTCCATCCATAGATCGATAACTGCTCCATAGATCGATAACTACTCCATAGATCAATAACTGCTCCATAGATCGATAACTACTCCAGCCATAGATCGATAACTGCTCAATAACTGCTCCATAGATCGATAACTACTCCATAGATCAATAACGTATCGACTCCACTGGACTCAAATGGAGGCCGTCTGTTGCCATGGTGACATCAGTCTGTTTATGCTCAGTAAACCTGAATAAGCTCCGCCCACTCCGCTGGAGGCCACATCCCATTTTCCTGCACGTTACTAGGCGACGACTTCCAGTCCCAGCTCCTAACTGGGACGCTCCAGGTGGCGCCGTAGTTCGCTGTCACGTAGTCGAGTGTTTCACACGGGACTCGAACCTTCAGCTCCAGAAGCTCCGCCCAGCAGAGCGAGAACCGCGGGAACTCGTACCTGAGAGAGAGAAACACTCGTATATTAGTATCTTAGTTACCAGTGATTGTCTATTATTATTTATTGTTTAATTTATGTATTATTCTATTTGATTATACTATTGATACATCTATTGGTCTTATTTATTGGTTAATATATATTAATATCTTTGATTATTTTTTAAATGTGATTCACTTGAACTTCCTGCCACTCTTCGCCTGCGTTCCTCCATTCCACACAATGTCTCCGTCTTCGTAGAAAAAGAAAATGTCCAGTTTGACGTCGTCACTCAGGAAGGAAAGTTCCAGACTGTCCTCCACCTGTGCTTCAAAATAAAACACACACCTGCTTCACAATAAATGTCAGACAAATTCAGAATCTGCTTCACAACAGCGTACGGACCGTGTTAATCAAATCAGTGAAGAATATTAAGTTTCAACCTTTCCAAACTTGTGTTTGAGTGGCAGACCGGCGTCCCTGAACGCTGCCACGATGTCCCACCTGAAGTCTGCGATGAAAATCCCGATATCAACGTCACGACTGTATGAGATAATACTGCACTGCCTGAACCAGCCTGCAGGGGGCGAGAGACACCCATAGACACAGGGAGAGAGAGTCGTAATTCTAGCGTGTTATATGTTGTTGTACTGTGATACTGTGATGCTAGCGTGTTATATGTTGGACTTGTCTCTGTACTTGTATTATTAGATCTTAGTGCTGCATTTGACACCATTGACCATAATATTCTTTTACAGAGACTTGAGCATCAAATTGGCATTAAAGGAACCGCACTAAGCTGGTTTAAGTCATATTTATCAGGTTGTTTGCAGTTTGTACATGTTAATGATGAATCTTCAATAAATACTACAGTTAGTCATGGAGTTCCACAAGGTTCTGTACTTGGACCAATACTATTTACTTTATATATGCTCCCTTTAGGCAACATTATTAGGAATCACTCCATTAACTTTCACTGTTATGCAGATGATACGCAGTTATATCTATCAATCAAGCCCAATGAAATTAATCAATTATCTAAATTACAAACATGTCTTAAGGACATAAAATCCTGGATGAGCTGCAATTTTCTGATGTTAAACTCAGAAAAAAACGAAATTCTTGTTCTTGGCCCCAAAAACCTTAGAGACTCACTGTCTAAAGATATAGTTACTCTAGATGGCATTACCTTGGCCTCTAGCACCACTGTCAGGAATCTTGGAGTTATCTTTGATCAGGATTTGTCATTTAACTCCCACATAAAGCAGACCTCTAGGACTGCCTTCTTTCATTTACGTAATATTACAAAAATTAGACACATCCTATCACAGACAGATGCAGAAAAACTAATCCATGCATTTGTTACTTCAAGGCTGGATTACTGCAACTCTTTATTATCAGGTTGCCCCAATAAGTCCATTAAAACGCTCCAATTAATTCAGAACGCTGCAGCACGAGTACTGACAGGAACTAGAAAAAGAGATCACATCTCTCCTGTACTAGCTTCTCTGCATTGGCTCCCTGTAAAATGTAGAATAGAATTTAAAATCCTCCTCCTCATCTATAAAGCTCTTCATGGTCAGGCCCCTTCATATCTTAAAGAGCTCATAGTACCCTATTACCCCACTAGAACACTACGTTCTCTGAATGCTGGGCTACTTGTGGTTCCTATAGTCTCTAAAAGTAGAACAGGAGCCAGAGCCTTCAGTTACCAAGCTCCTCTCCTGTGGAACCAGCTTCCAGTTGTGGTTCTGGAGGCAGACACCCTCTCCACATTCAAGAGTAGGCTTAAGACATTCCTCTTTGATAAAGCTTATAGTTAGGGCTGGATCAGGTGAGTCCTGAACCATCCCTTAGTTATGCTGCTATAGGCCTAGACTATCGGGGGATTTCCCATGGTGCACTGAGCTCCTCCCTTCCTCTCTCTTCCTGCACTCATTCATGTTCCATTAATGCATGTTACTAACTTCACTTTTTCCCCGGAGTTCTTGTGCTTTCTCTTCTCGCAGGTTCTTATCGATCCTGGTGGACCCTCCTGCCATGGTCCTGCTAGATTGCCATTGCTAATACTGTTGTTGCTGTGCACCTGTCTGTCTGTCTGTCTCTCTCTCTCTCTCTCACCCCAACTGGTCGAGACAGACGACCACCCACCTAGAGCCGGAGGATCTGTCCTAGGTTTCTGCCTTTTAACAGGCAGTTTTTCCTTGCCCTTGTCTCCAAGGTCTTGCTCATGGTGGTACTGTTGGGTCTCTGTAAATAATGTTTTAAAGAGTTCGGTCTAGACCTACTCTATTTGAAAAGTGTCCTGAGATAACTTCTGTTATGAATTGGCACTGTACAAATAAAATTGAATTGAATTGAATTGAATGTTGTTGTACTGTGATGTTAGCGTGTTATATGTTGTTGTACTGCGAGGCTAGCGTGTTATATGTTGTTGTACTGTGATGTTAGCGTGTTACCCAGACAGGTGCCACTGCTGAGCCAGAAGGGGATGTCGAGGTGAGCGAGTGTTCGAGCGGCCAAATGAAGCAACGACTTCACTTTTCTCCTAAAATCCACCGCCTCCGGAGACGAGTCATCAGGGTAGAGCTACATTCACACACACACAGCGGGGAGAGAGAGATATCCATTACTAATTACTGATAATGTGTAACCAATCAGAGAGCAGAATACAGACAGAGGGCAGCTGGTATTATTGGTATCATCATCTAAAGCTACCAATAATCAGAAAAGTCTGAAAATTGACCGGGCTGACAATCGATCTCTATCCATTTCCAACTATTAGTTTCCATTCGGTTTCTTGCTGTAATTAGTGTGATTAGTGGTGAAAGCAGCAGAATGTGACCGCTGTTGGACCCACAGGTCAAGTTCAGCACTCACCCTGATCCATATATTCATTCATCTATTCATTTAATTTTTTACACCATTTCTCTGACCTGCAGGAAGTTGCGTGCGTCACGGTAACGGCACTCCAGGAAGTGGGCGTGTCGCTGCTCAGACAGAAAGCGGGAAACGTTGTGCGGGATTCGAACATCGAGGCCATCCAGCACCGTCAGGACAAGTTCGGGCCTGCAGGGGGCACCAAACGACCAATGTTTAGTTTCCCCCCAAGCGAATCAACGTATTTCTGATTCTTACTGAACGAGACCAAGGTACATCTTCTGTGGTTTCATTTACAGTAGAACTTTACAGACCCCATAAGATTTAAACAGCTCAATATGACACAGATAAAGAAGAAATCGACCAATCACAGGCATTGATCCACACAAACATAACAAGCTCTAGTAACTGCAGAGAGTCTGTGTGTAATATAATATTATAAAAATATGAATTCGTGACATCATCATACCAGAAAAGAACAAAACCAGTGAAATGTCATGATTCTTAATACCAATACCAATTTGGTACTATGGTAACAAACAAAAACAACCAATAAATCCCATAAACTCAAATGAATGAGCACTGGACTCCCTGACTGGTCCCACACCAACAGACTGCTCTGCACTGTGTGGTCTGACCCCTTTCTATCAGAACCAGCATTAACTGTTTCAGCAGTTTGAGCTACAGTAGCTCGTCTGTTGGATCGGACCACACGGGCCAGCCTTCACTCCCCACCTGCATCAATGAGCCTCGGCCCCCCATGACCCCGTCTCTGGTTCTGTTCCTTCCTTGGACCACTTTTGATAGGTACTGACCTCTGCAGACATTTCTGGTACGGTGACATCACTAGCCCCCAGTCAAACAGCTCATTAATAATTGACACATAATTAATGTTGGAAGCATTTGAATCCACAGGAGGAAACAGAGAATATATAATGTTTTGTTTGTGGTCCAGGGTCTGAGGTCTTTCCTCAAAATTTTACACACAATATCCTATAATGACAACAGGAAAAAAGTTTGTTTGAAATTTTTGCAAATTTATTTAAAATAAAAAGCCCTCAAAAAGAACTGCCGCCACTATGCTTCACCGTGGGGGTGGTACTGCCGCCACCATGCTTCACCTTAGGGACGGTACTGCCACCACCATGCGTCACCGTGGGGACGGTACTGCCACCGCCATGCGTCACCGTGGGGACGGTACTGCCACCGCCATGCTTCACCGTGGGGACGGTACTGCCACCGCCATGCTTCACCGTGGGGACGGTACTGGTGATGAGTGGTGCCTGGTTTCCTCCAGACATGATGCTTGGCATTCAGGCCAAAGAGTTCAATCTGTGTTTCATCAGACCAGAGTATTTGGTTCCTCGTGGTCTGAGAGTCCTTCAGGTTTTACTGAGGAGTGGCTTCTGTCTGTCCACTCTACCATACAGACCTGATTGGTGGAGTGCTGCAGAGATGGTTGTCCTTCCCTCTCTCTACAGAGCAATGCTGGAGCTTTGTCAGAGTGACCATCAGGTTCTTGGTCACCTCCCTGACAAAGGCTGTTCTTCCCCGATCGCTCAGTTTGGCAAGGCGGCTTTAGGAAGACTCCTGGTGGTTCCAAACTTCTTTCATTTACAGATGATTGAGGCCAGTGTGATCATTGGGACCTTCGAAGCTGCAGAATGTTTTCTGTACCCTTTCCCAGATCTGTACCTACAATCCTGTCTCGGAGGTCTACAGACAATTCCTTGGACTAATATAGACAGGTGTGTGCCTTTCCAAATCATATCCAATCAAATGAATTTACCACAGGTGGACTCCAATCAAATTGTAGAAACATCTCAAGGATGATCAGTGGAAACAGGATACACCTGAGCTCATGGCAAAGGCTGTGAATACTTCTACATCTGATTTCTTCGTTTTTTATTTTAATTAGCAAAAATTTAAAAAAAAAAAAAAATTTCACGATGTCATAGGATATTGTGTGTAGAATTTTGAGGGAAAAAAAATATTTAATTAATTTTAAAATGTGGCTGTAACATATCAAAATGTGGAAAAAGTGAAGCAAATACTTTCCGGATGCACTTTATTGTGAGAAATCACGTCTAATATCTGGTTTTCACCTGTCGTAAGCTCCAGCGTGGCGTCCGTAGTCGAGCAGTTTGAAGGGAGCAAAGCTTCGGTCCATGTCGGCTTTAAGGCGTAACGCTCCGTGCCACAGGTAGTTCCCGCTGCGCTCATACAAGAACACTACCTGGGACAAAATACAAAATAAAAATTTACAACAACCACAATACAGTGACATCTCAAACAAACAACGTTCAGTGAAGAGACAAAACACACCTGAACACAAAGTCGACTGATCAGGTCACACATAGTTCTTTTTAAATGAACCAAACTCTTACAGTGCATTAATTCCTGATTCAAAGTGCATGTTCTCCTGTTTAGGGAACCTTTCACACAATTTTCTGTCTGAATTCTGTATTTTTTATTAATCATTTTTAAACAATCAGACAGACTTAATATTCTTATCTTCTTCTCATTGTTCTATCAGACATTTATTTACTAATTTTACATTTAGTTTTCTCCACAGAAGTGAACCAAATACTGAGCTATAAACCTACTGTGCATATATTTTTAAAATGTTCTTACAACCCTTAAAATCAAGAATACAAATAAAACTGAACTGAACTGAATTGAATCGGTTGCTATGTGGTTGCTATGTGGTCGCCAGGTGTGTCTAGGTGTCAGCAGGCAATGTAGCACCACCCACCTGGATAATGTAACCATGGAGGCGGAACAGGAAGTGCAATGGGATTGCCTCTCCCGATAGGGTGTCCAGACTGGCCAGTCGCGGGTCCTCTCCTCGCAGCTCCAGCAGGTCGAAGCCTTTTTGTTCTGCAGCCAATAGGAAGCCGGGCTAACAGAGAACAAAACTCATTAAATAAATGTAGAAATATTTATGTACCAACACAATAAAGTCATACAAAATATATATTACATTTAAAAGCACAAAGATTCTCATTGTTATTTCCCATTTTGTGTCGGGACCATGAACACATCACACATCACACACTCACGTCATACTTCCACAGGTTGGCGTGCAGAGCAAAGGACGTGACTGGTCGGCCGGTGCACAGGAAGCTGCAGTGCGGCTCACGCACCAGCCTGTCGCGCTGCCGCAATGCATCCTGGGAAAGCAGCGTGAGCGCGGCAGTGTCAATGAGGAAGAGCGGGAGGCCGAAGCGCTGCGCTACCGCCAGAAACAGCTTCACCGTCTGCTGCATGGAGACATACAAAGGACGGTTACTATGGTAACGGGGAGGGGACGGGACCAACAGTCACAACAGTAGTGCTGACTCACCCATTGGACGTCATTGGCGCTCAGGTGACCTGTTCGGCTCAGGATGTGAGGGCCGGGCTGCAAAAGAAAGGCATGATGGGAAATTCTAACTAAAACAGGATAATTTTGAAATGTAGACACATTTTATGTTCAGTCTCCTGATTGGTTGGTGGCGATCTGACACTCACATCCTGTTTGATTCCAAAAAATCATAATTATATGTAATGATTAATATTAGCTTCTACTAATATTTATATTATATGCACTGATATAAAACGTAAGATAATAAAAAATGTTAATTAGGGACCGAACGTCTAAGCCACGCCCCCCAGAATCAGCCCCCAGGACACGTAAGGCCCATGATGAAAATTGCTGTGGTCATTTTGACTTTTTGGGCTTGTATTTGAACGAACTCCTCCTAGCGAATTTATCGGATCTGCTTTAAAATTGGTCAGTATAGTCAAAACATGGTGCTGAATGAACACTGTTCAATTTGTAACTGTACGTTGAAGGGCGTGTCCGTGGCGCGCCGTCAAAGTTGGCCATTTTTAAGTCTGTGGTCATTTCCAGTGAATTTTCGCCTTGTATTTGAACAAACTCCTCCTAGGGAATTTATCGGATCTGCTTCAGAACTGGTCAGTACAGTCAAAAAATTGTGCTGAATGAACGCTGTTCATTTGCTGACTCTACGTTGAAGGGCGTGTCTGTGGCGTGCCGTGAAAGTTGGCCATTTTGAACGAATGTCACACTGTGATGTCATTTTTGGCATTTCAGGGCTTCTATTTTCACTAACTCCTCCTACAGGTGCTATTGGATGTACTTCAAAATTGGTCAGTGCAGTCAGTTTTTTTCGTCCAACATTGTGCCCGTGGCGTGGCGTCCCGTGGCATCCAATTTCAAACCTTCGCCATGAAAGAGGGATTCGTCATAACTTCTGTGTACATGATCCGACTGGGTGTTGCATATGCGCATGTGTAAGTGTCCATGGGTGCGTGGGTGCACATAAGCCTGGAGAGTCGCTTCGTCTAGCCTCTCAATCAGTGCCTCAGTTCACATGGTGTCATCGCGATAACACAGCAGGTTGCCATGGAGACGTCCCTGATCGGGTCCTAAACAGAGTCAACTATCAACAGGTGTCCGTGAGGGAAGGGAGGGAGGATCTTCTATAGCCAAGTATCTATTATACATATGCTATATATCATTTCATATCTCAAATATATATATATGTGTGCACATATTATATACAGTGGGTACGGAAAGTATTCAGACCCTTTTAAAATGTTCACTCTTTGTTTCATTGCAGCCATTTGCTAAAATCAAAAAAGTTCCTTTTATTTCTCATTAATGTACACTCAGCACCCCATCTTGACAGAAAAAAACAGAAATGTAGAAATTTTTGCAAATTTATTAAAAAAGAAAAACTGAAATATCACATGGTCATAAGTATTCAGACCCTTTGCTGTGACACTCATATTTAACTCACATGCTGTCCATTTCTTCTGATCCTCCTTGAGATGGTCCTGCTCCTTCATTGGAGTCTAGCTGTGTTTAATTAAAGTGATTGGACTTGATTAGGAAAGGCACACACCTGTCTATATAAGACCTTACAGCTCACAGTGCATGTCAGAGCAAATGAGAATCATGAGGTTGAAGGAACTGCCCAAGGAGCTCAGAGACAGAATTGTGGCAAGGCACAGATCTGGCCAAGGTTACAAAAGAATTTCTGCAGCACTCAAGGTTCCTAAGAGCACAGTGGCCTCCATAATCCTTAAATGGAAGAAGTTTGGGACGACCAGAACTCTTCCTAGACCTGGCCGTCCAGCCAAACTGAGCAATCGTGGGAGAAGAGCCTTGGTGAGAGAGGTAAAGAAGAACCCAAAGATCACTGTGGCTGAGCTCCAGAGATAGCAGTAGGGAGATGGGAGAAAGTTCCACAAAGTCAACTATCACTGCAGCCCTGCACCAGACGGGGCTTTATGGCAGAGTGGCCCGATGGAAGCCTCTCCTCAGTGCAAGACATATGAAAGCCCGCATAGAGTTTGCCAAAAAACACACGGACTCCCAGACTATGAGAAATAAGATTCTCTGGTCTGATGAGACCAAGATTGAACTTTTTGGCGTTAATTCTAAGCGGTATGTGTGGAGAAAACCAGGCACAGCTCATCACCTGCCCAATACAATCCCAACAGTGAAACATGGTGGTGGCAGCATCATGCTATGGGGGTGTTTTTCAGCTGCAGGGACAGGACGACTGGTTGGAATTGAAGGAAAGATGAATGCGGCCAAGTACAGAGATATCCTGGAAGAAAACCTCTTCCAGAGTGCTCAGGACCTCAGACTGGGCCGAAGGTTCACCTTCCAACAAGACAATAACCCTAAGCACACAGCTAAAATAACAAAGGAGTGGCTTCGGAACAACTCTGTGACCATTCTTGACTGGCCCAGCCAGAGCCCTGACCTAAACCCAATTGAGCATCTCTGGAGAGATCTGAAAATGGCTGTCCACCAACGTTCACCATCCAACCTGACAGAACTGGAGAGGATCCCCAAATCCAGGTGTGAAAAACTTGTTGCATCATTCCCAAGAAGACTCATGGCTGTAGTAGCTCAAAAGGGTGCTTCTACTCAATACTGAGCAAAGGGTCTGAATACTTATGACCATGTGATATTTCAGTTTTTCTTTTTTAATAAATTTGCAAAAATTTCTACATTTCTGTTTTTTTCTGTCAAGATGGGGTGCTGAGTGTACATTAATGAGAAATAAAATGAACTTTTTTGATTTTAGCAAATGGCTGCAATGAAACAGAGTGAAACATTTAAAGGGGTCTGAATACTTTCCGTACCCACTGTATACATATTATTATTATTATTAGGGATGCACGATAACTTTTTTTTTAATACCGATAACCGATAACTTTCAGCTCCTAAAGGCTGATACCGATAACCGATAACACACACACATACATAATATATATGATCATGACCTAAGATCATGACATCAATACAATGAACAAACCCAAAAACACTTTTGTTTTTAAATGTTTAAATTTAAATGTTTATTTTTTCCAATGAAAAACTATTGGCAAGCCTCTCAAAAAAAAATAAAGGCCCCTTGAACTGATGCAAATACATGCAGCGGGATTACAAACTGAAAAAGTGCATTCCAGAAGTTCAAAAAAATAAATATATATGGAAAATTGATGCACTGACACAAGTTAGATTTAAACATTTCTATGTAAACAAACTGAAAAAGTGAATTCCATAGTAACGAAAAATTAAGTTTGAATGATTTTGGCTTATGGTTCCATTCAAATGAATACCTTTTCACTAAAGTAAATGAGGTTCAGTTGTTTTTTTATATATATATATATATATATAGAGAGAGAGAGAGAGAAGATTCCGCTAGCATTGTCAACCATAGCCACCATAGCCATGTGCGCACCAGAGCCAATCACTGCAGAGCCCACCCCCATGACACACCTTAAGAAACACACTGATCTAACGTTATACCTGCAGCGGCGCGAGCGGCTTTATACCTGCAGCAGGTTTTGCCGGCTGTTCGGTCCCGTTCTGTGAATCTAAACTAACTGTTGTGGATTACTGACACTGAACGAGTCCGGACCGAGTCTGTTCCGGTCTGAGGAGATCCGGATATGTGAGGACAACAAACTGGAATCGGAATCTGTGGACGTTCGTCTGTAGCTAGCTGCTACACCTTCAAACACAACCTCATTTGGCCATCCATGAAAAAGCTACTTAACCTCCCACTTTTCTATAGCAATACATACTTCCTACGGGCACTGCACTAGTTTGTTACAAATAACAAGCGACCTGTCTTCTTCAGAAACAGACAACGCCGTGTTGTCTGTTTTCAAACGTAAGCACGCTGTGCTGCATTCATGGTAATGTATACGGTATAATTATCGTGCACCCCTAATTAATATTATTATTATTATTATTATATACTGTTATTAACAATAACACTACCTTCATATCATCAGTACTTTTACCACCATCTTGCAACTACAACTTCTTTGCACCTTATCTACCGATTTATCTAAAACCTCAAGTATTTGATTCTATTTAAGAATAGTGGCTGCTATGACGACCCAATTTCCCTTCTGGGATTAATAAACTCTATCTTATCTATCTATCTATCTATCTATCTATCTATCTAATAAATCCTTTCATTTGAACGATATATTTAATTTAATGTTTTAAAATGGATTTCTTTATATTTGGGGGGAATTTTGTTCTTATAACCAATAAATTGGTTTTCCTACTTTTCAATTAACCAGTGTGAGAAAAGAACAGAGCCAAATTTAATATTTTGTAATTGAGGTACTGGTTTGTTGCCACTGGCATCTTTTCTGTCACATTCTTATAATCTTTCATGGAACAAGCCAAATTATATTTATTGTTAATAAACGTGAGAAGGGTTAATTTGTATGTTTGCTCTGGAACTGAAAAATAAATCAACCTAACAACATGAAACCTGATTATTGATCACTGTGACCGACCTGCTGCTGTAAACTCATTAGGGCTGCAACGATTCCTTGAGTACCTCGAGTAACTCGATTCCAAAAAATTATCGAGGAATTTCCTCTACCTTGAAGCCTCGTTTAATTAAATTTAAAGCTCACGTTTCGCACAGATCCTTTTTAGTGTGACACAACGTGCTTACGTCACAGGCTATGTATCCCCTACAAAGCGGAAGAAGATGGAAGCGGGCTTTTGGTGACGCGTGTCAACAGTTTTGCTGGGACCAAAAACAGTGAAAAAGCGAAAAGTAATAAGAGGAAGAGACAGAAGATGTCGAAGGTGTGGGATCATTTTAAATTAAAAATGAAGGACAACATCGTGGTGTGTGTACATTGCAAGATGGAGCTGGCGTACCATAACAGCACGACTTCAATGCTGCAGCACCTCAAAAGAAAACACCCATTTGACGACATGAGCGGGCGACCACATCCACACCATCAGAGCGTTTGTTTTCAGCAGCAGGTAACATTGCTTCAAAGAAGAGGGCAAGCCTCAGCCCTGAGCATATAGATATGCTCACCTTCCTTCACTGCAACCACGTGCTCCTAATGGCTTGAACACGCAAGTCAAGAGAGACTGTAAAGGGGGTGTAAGACTCTTGTTCCAAGTCCCGGTCCACAGCCAAGCATTTCTGTTGAAACGTATTGGTTCTGATTCTGAATATGAAGTTGCACAATTTAAAGGCAGTCCTTAAGAATCTGTATTTTTTATTTTATTTTTGATACTTAGAAAAAATAAGTGGGAAACAATTTTATTTATTTTTATTTAATTTTATGTCTCAGGAAATGTTAAGTTTGAAGTAATTTTATTTATTTTTGTTGGAAATTTTGACTGAAACGGTTTACTACTTTGCATAATATGTATAATAAATAAATGTCAATTTTTCTTAAAAAGGAAACAAATTGGTTGTTATTATTAAGTGATGATCCGTCTTGTTTTCTATTGTATATTTATAATTGGGCTCTAATTGGGCAAAAGTATGTTTTATCCGATTACTGGATTAATCGATGGAATATTCGATAGAATACTCGATTACCAAAATATTCGATAGCTGCAGCCCCAAAACTCATTTATGTTATTTTAAGTTTAGTATTATTTTTCACTTTTCAACAATATCACTCCATCACGTGTCCAGCAGTGGATAATAAAATATTTCAGATCAATATTTTTATCGATAAAGAATCAAAGTTTATTGGTCACAGTGCTTCTCACCTTGCTGACGTATTTCCGGTAGTAATAGAGCTGGAACAGCAGGAACACGGAGCTGCTGACGATCAGCAGCGATAACACGGCTGTCCGGTTCACACGAGGCATCCGGTAACCGCACGCGGTAACCCGCTTCTCATGACGTCAAACCGAAGCTCTCTGCTCGGGATTAACGGCGGCAAAACCACACAGCGGCGCGAAAAACACTGAGCTGTCTGCGGCGTCTAGCTGCGCCGCCATCTTTAAAACAAGCCGAAGAGGAGGAAGACCGCTTCCTGTTGGGACCTCCACAGTAAAAGCATGACCGCTTCCCGCTGGGACCTCCACAGTAAAATATTAGAAGTATGTAAATTAGTGAAAATAAGGTCTATGTAAAGTGGCATTTTTTAAAACTCACAATAAGAATACAATGAATAAGAAAAGAGTGTGTCTGTTTATTGTTGGCACATACTGTATGTATTGATTGTTGTTATAAGAGTAGCGTGGCTCCTTTAAGGGATAGAGCAGTGCGCACGTGCAGAGACAACGTGTGTGTGGTAGAGCAAGAGCGAGCGAGCGGGAGTGTGTGAACTAGAGACTGGTTAGCGAAAGTTATTAGAGAGTTTAGCAGTGAATGTACAGTTTATGTCACAGTTGTCAGTGAATAAAGGCTGTCGCTTCTCAAGGACAAAGTGGAGCCTCTGTGTGAGTTGTTTGCCAACTGCTGGTAATAAAGTGAAGGGGGTTAGCCCCGAAGTTAGCGTCAACTTCAGCCCTGGAGGAAACTCTCCCCTGTGCTTCCCGACTACGGTCTGGGAGTCGAACAGGAATGGTTAACAATATGTTATTGGTTATTATATCTTTTACATATTCCAGATTCAAGATTCAAGAAGCTTTATTTATCCTGAGGGAAATTGCTGTGCAACAATTGCGATACAAAAGTGGAGAAGTAATACAAGAGTAAGAATAAAGCTAGCATAAAAATAAAACAAGTAACTAAATGCAACAAAGTGCAAAGCACAATAGGATAAAGCTAACAGAAAATAAAGTACAACAGTAACTAAATGCAACAATGGCACAAAAATGACAGTTAACATAGGTATATATAATATACAACAATACGCACTGTGCAGTTAGCCGCATCAGTTGTAATAAAATAAGTACAACTAAATATAGTGAGCAATTGTTTAAAGTGATTAAGTGATAAAATAGTAAAATATATAATATATATAATAATAAAAAAAAGTGATGAGTGATATGATGGGTAAAAATGGTAAAGTGACATTTGCTCAGGGCACAGTGTCTCCACTGTCCCTCTCTCGGGCCGGAGGTAGATGAGTTAAACAGTCTGATGGCCACAGGAAGAAAAGACTTCCTCTGGCGTTCAGTGTTACATCGGGGGGAATGAGTCTGTTGCTGAAGGTGCTTCTGCTCGAGGTTAGCACCTGGTGGAGAGGGTGAGCGTTGTTGTCCAGGATACTGTGCAGTTTACACAGCATCCTCCTCTCAGACACCACCACCAAAGAGTCCAGTTGGACCCCCAGGACGGAGCCAGGCTTCCTGGTGATCCTGCTGATCTTCTTGGCGTCTGCTGCCCTCAGCCTGCTGCCCTCAGCCTGCTGCCCTCAGCCTGCTGCCCCAGCACACAACAGCAAAAAAGATGGCACTGGCTACCACCGACTGGTAGAACATCCTTAGCATGATGTTACATACATTGAATGACCGGAGCCTCCTCAGGAAATAGAGTCGACTCTGGCCCTTCTTGTAAACAGCCTCAATGTTCTTGGCCCAGTCCAGTTTGTTATCCAGGTGTACTCCAAGGTATTTGTAATCCTGGACAACATCCACAGTCACACCGTTGATGGAGATGGGTGCGGGGGCAGATTTCCTCCTGCGGAAATCCACCACCAGCTCCTTAGTCTTGGTGGAGTTGCACACCACTCGACGAAGGAGTCCACAACGCCCCTGTACTCCTCCACCTTCCCCTCACTGACACAGCCAACAATTGCAGAGTCGTCCGCAAACTTCTGCAGGTGGCAGGACTCAGAGAGGAACTGAAAGTCCGAGGTGTAAAGGGTGAACAGAAAGGGGGAAAGAACAGTTCCCTGTGGAGCCCTAGTGCTGCTGACCACAGTGTCAGACACACCGTCCTGCAGTCTGACATACTGTGGTCGACCCGGCATCAGCTTACTCCCCAGCAGAGCAGGCCGGATGGTGTTGAACGCACTGGAAAAGTCCATGAACAGGATTCTCACAGTGCTTCCCGGTCTGTCCAGGTGGGCGCAGGCACGGTGGAGCAGGAAGATGATGGCGTCCTCCACTCCTACTCTCGGCTGGTAGGCAAACTGAAGAGGGTCCAGTGATGAGCTGACCAGGGGCCGAAGAAGTGACAGGACCAGCCTCTCCAGGGACTTCATCAGGTGAGACGTACGCGACACCGGTCTGTAGTCGCTGGAGACATGCTGGGACATGCCTTCTTCGGTACTGGTACCAGGCAGGATGTCTTCCACAGCACAGGGACCCTCTCCAGACTCAGGCTCCGGTTGAAGATGTGCTGCAGGACTCCACTCAGCTGGGTTGCACATGTTTTGAGGACCCTCGGGCTGACACCGTAGGGACCTGCTGCCTTGCCTGGGTGGAGTCTGCAAAGCTCCTTCCTCACCTGTTCTGCAGTGCAGGTCTGTCTGCCGTGTGTGTTGATGGGAGTGGGGAGACGTGATGGTGGTGGGGAGAGGACAGGTAGGGCGTAGTCAGGAAGGAAGGGAGGGGGAGGGGGGGGCATCAGTGCTGGAGGTTTGGAGGTGGATAGTTGTAGAGGGGCTGGGGGAGGGGTAGTCCGGAGCCCTTTCATCAAATCTGTTGAAAAACAGATTCAGCTCATTGGCTCGTTCAGTACCACCTCCTATTGTCTGGCTGCCAGATGGTTTGTAGCCAGTGATGCTCCTCATGCCGCTCCACATGTCCTTCAAGTTGTTCTGCTGGAGTTTGTGCTCCAGCTTCCTCCTGTAGCTGTCTTTGCCCTGTTGGATCATCTCCTTAAGCTCCCTCTGAACCCGCCTCATCTGCTCCCTGTCCCCATCTCTGAAGGCCCTCTTCTTCTCATTCAGCAGGACCTTGATGTGTCTGGTGACCCACGGCTTTTTATTGGGGAAACAGCGTACAGTTACTGTAGGAACAACACTGTCCACACAGAAGTTGATGTACCCCGTTATGCAGTCCGTGAGATCATCAAGGTCCTCTCCATGCAAATCACAGTCTGTTCAAAGCAGCCCTGCAAAGCTTCATTGGTCTCCTATGTTGTGCTCATTGTCTTTACTAGTGATGGCAGTGCGACACTGAAGCTTCAATACGTGCTTCAAACCCTGATCTATAACTCCATAGAATCACTGCTTTAAAGCTTTGGTACGAAATAAATCACGTGACATATGACATCCGAAGCAGCAGCTGCTTCATTGCCTGAATGAATCAGCTGACTGGTTCGCGGTCCAATCAGGCGATTCCCTGGCACCACCTCGTCAACACTTTATAATGTAACCATGGGGAATGTGAACTCGCTGCTGAACAAGATCGACGAGCTGTCCACGCTGAACAACCAGCGGATCTACCGTGAGAGCAGCTTGTTCATCTTTATGGAGACATGGCTAAACCACCTTGTATCGGATGCTTACATGGACCTGCTGGGATTCACTGCCGTGAGAGCTGACAGAGACACAAAAAGCAAAGGTGGGGGACTCATCATGTATGTCAACAACCGCTGGTGTAACCCAGGACGTATCTCCGTAAAGACAGTCTCATGTTGCCGGGACCTCTAGCTGTTAGCCTGCGGCCATATTATCTGCCGAGGGAGTTCAGTCATGTGATCACCGTCTGTGTTTACATCCCTCGAGGGCGGATGCAGCCACAGCACCCTGAGGCATTTATGATCATCTCTGGGGACTTTAGTCATGTAACTTTGGACTCTACTTTGGCTGTTTTTCACCAGGTTGTAGACTGTCCGACCAGAAACAACAGGACAATTGATCTCCTGTATGCTAATGTGAGGGATGCATACAGAGCGACTCCCCTCCCCCACTGGGGAAGTCTGATCACAACCTGGTTCACCTACAGCCACTGTACACCCCCCTGGTCCAAAAACAGCCGGTGACAACTCACACCATCAGGAGGTGGTCCCCTGAGATGGAAAGTGCCCTGAGAGACTGTTACAACACCACAGTCTGGGATGTGCTGATCAACCCACATGGTGAGGACATAGAGGGGATGACACATTGTCTGATGGAGTACCTGAACTACTGCGCAGACGTGGTCTCCCCTGTTACCCTAATAACAAGCCTTGGGTAACGCCGGAAGTCAAGGCTGTCTAGGAGCTGGGACAGGGAGGCAATGAAGGCAGCACAGCAGGAGGTGAAACACTGTGTGAGGGAAGCTAAGAACAGCTACAGGAGAAAGGTGGAGCAGAAGCTGAGGGAGAACAGCATGAGGGAGGTCTGGGAAGGTGTGAGGACCATCACAGGCTACAACACAAAGACCAGAGCTACAGGGGGGACAATGGAGAGGGCGAACGAGCTGAATGACTTCTTCAACAGGTTCAACCAGCCCTTGTCCCCCCCCAATCACACCCTCACCGCAGCCATCTCTCCTTCTTCCATCTACACACCTCCCTCCTGACACCACAACACCCCCCTCCTCCTCCCCCACCTCAACACAATCCCTGTCTCACATCACCACAGACCAGGTCAGAGGACAGCTAAAGAAGCTCCGGCCCAGGAAACCAGCAGGCCCAGATAAAGTGTGTCCGAGACTACTGAAGACCTGCACTGCAGAACTTGGGGAACCACTACAACGGATCTTCAACCTTAGCCTGCAGCTAGGGAGAGTGCCCACCCTCTGGAAGACATCCTGCATCGTTCCGGTTCCCAAGAAGAACAGGCCCAGCGAGGTGAATGACTTCTGACCGGTGGCACTCACTTCACACCTGATGAAGACGTTGGAGCGGCTCTTCCTCAGCCTCCTCAGACCCCAGGTAAAACACGCCCAGGACTGCCTGCAGTTTGCGTACCAGCCAGATGTTGGTGTGGAGGATGCCATCCTCTACATGCTACACCGAGTCCACTTCCATCTGGATAAGGGAAGCGGCACAGTGAGGATTCTCTTCTTGGACTTCTCCAGTGCCTTTAATACCATCCAGCCCCCTATACTTCAGGACAAACTGAACAGGATGGGAGTGGACCCCTATCTGGTGGACTGGATCAAAGATTACCTCACTGACAGGCCACAGTACGTCAGGCTGAAGGACACCACATCTGACACTGTGGTCAGCAGCACTGGAGCCCCCCAGGGCACAGTGCTGGCCCCTCTTCTCTTCACCCTGTACACCTCGGACTTCTGTTACAACTCAGAGCTGTGTCACATACAGAAGTACGCCGATGACACAGCCATCGTTGGATGTATCAGGGGTGACAGAGAGGAGGAGTATCAGATCTTCCTTAGGAGACTGTGGTCTTTCAACATCTGCAGCAAACTGCTGTGGATGTTTTACCAGTCTGTGGTTACCAGCGTCCTCTTCTACACTGTGGTGTGCTGGGGGGGCAGCATATCCAAGGACACCTCCGGACTGGATAAACTGATCAGGCGGGCCGGCTCTGTGGTCGGCATGAAGCTGGACTCACTGGTGACGGTGGCAGAGAGGAGGACACTGGACAAACTGCTGGACATTATTGACAATGCCAGCCACCCCCTGCACACCGTCCTCAGCAACCAGAGGAGCCTGTTCAGTGAAAGGCTGCTCCTTCCCAACTGTAGGATCAACAGACTCAAGAACTCATTTGTCCCTCATGCCATCACACTCTACAACTCCTCACTCAGGGGGAGGAGGAAATAGGGTAAAGAGGACAGAAGGGAAGGAGTGGTAGCCACTCACTGTGCAATAATGATCTACTCATACATACCTGGACACTCTTCTTCTTCTTTTTCTTTTTTTTCTGCTAAATGTCATTTATCCACTGTATAATAACACAATGCCATATGCAGTCCTATATATGCATCTTTATTTATCTATATTTATCCTATATACAGTTCTCTACATACATCTCTACTTATTTGACTTTATTTTCCGTGAATTTTATTTTACTTTTATTCTTATCTCTACTTTATATATTTAGCTAAGAGTTTATTGTTTATATTATACTTTATTTTTTATACCTCTTTATTTTCTAGTGTTTTGTAAGCTGCTGGAAACCCAATTTCCTTGCGGGAGTCATCCCAAAAGGATCAATAAAGAGAAGTCTAAGTCTAAGTCTAAGTCTCTAACCACAAATGTGAAGAAATTGTGAGCAAAAATCAATAATAAAAACCTTTGAGTGTCCCCCCCCCCCACCATAGTTACACAAGCACACCCAACCTCTGCCATATTTCCCAGCATTCTCTCCTCAGTAACATGTTACACACATTCATCAGTCTTTATTTGTACATACATGATATAGATACTTTAAATCCAAGGGTGATCAAAGCAAAGGTGCTTCAGAACAAAAGGTGTTTTCTACACCACAGTTCATTAAGGTGTGTGTGTGTGTGTGTGTGTGTGTCTGCATGAAGTGTGTATTTCAGCCTGTGTGTGTGGATCAATAAAGTATATCTTCTTTCTTCTAACACACACACACACACACACACACACACACACACAGAAATAAGATGGCGGACAGTAACAGTCAAACATGCGCAGTGTGTCTTCATCCGGGTATTCTGTTTGCAGCGGGAAGTGTTTTTCCGCGGAGCGCCGCCTCCAGGCTGTAAACATCCAGGGTGTCTCACAACAAAAAGGCCGACTTACTGCACACTTGTCTCGGACTTTGCTCCACTGTTTCCCCGGTCGGACCGCAGACATGAACGGCCTCTTTCTCCTTTGACGGCCCGTTTAACGGCAGTGTTGGCCCTGTGATGTTCGGAGGATCGGGCGCCGTGTGAAGCGGACTGTGGGGAGGTAAGAACGGACACTGGTAGCTTAGCTCCCTGCTAACCGTTGGTTGTGGTCGGTTACCGGCTTTAACGGGAACACTGTGTGTGAATATGGAAGTGTTCCGGTAAAATGACGGTGCAGTGAGTAACGTTAACGGCTCGCATTTAGCTCTACTTTAACATGATCTAGCTGTTTGCTTACGTTAGATCCACTGTAATGGTCACATAGCTGTTAGCTAACAGCAGCTAACAGCTATGTTACTGTGCAGCTAGCTCCACTGTAAGATAACTGTTAGCTACAGTACCACTACAGTACCACAACAATACCACAACAGTACCACAACAATACCACAACAGTACCACAACAATACCACTACAGTACCACTACAGTACCACAACAATACCACTACAGTACCACAACAATACCACTACAGTACCACTACAGTACCACAACAATACCACAACAGTATTACTACAGTACCACAACAATACCACAACAGTACCACAACAATACCACTACAGTACCACAACAATACCACAACAGTACCACAACAATACCACTACAGTACCACAACAATACCACAACAATACCACTACAGTACCACTACAGTACCACAACAATACCACTACAGTACCACAACAATACCACTACAGTACCACTACAGTACCACAACAATACCACAACAGTATTACTACAGTACCACAACAATACCACAACAGTACCACAACAATACCACAACAATACCACTACAGTACCACTACAGTACCACAACAATACCACAACAGTATTACTACAGTACCACAACAATACCACTACAGTACCACTACAGTACCACAACAATACCACTACAGTACCACAACAATACCACTACAGTACCACTACAGTACCACAACAATACCACTACAGTACCACAACAATACCACTACAGTACCACTACAGTATTACTACAGTACCACTACAGTACCACAACAATACCACTACAGTACCACTACAATACCACTACAGTACCACTACAGTACCACAACAATACCACAACAGTACCACAACAGTACCACAACAATACCACAACAATACCACTACAGTACCACAACAATACCACAACAGTACCACAACAGTACCACTACAGTACCACTACAGTACCACAACAATACCACTACAGTACCACAACAATACCACTACAGTACCACAACAATACCACTACAGTACCACTACAGTACCACTACAGTATTACTACAGTACCACTACAGTACCACAACAATACCACTACAGTACCACAACAGTACCACAACAATACCACAACAGTATTACTACAGTACCACAACAATACCACTACAGTACCACAACAGTACCACAACAATACCACAACAATACCACTACAGTACCACAACAATACCACAACAGTATTACTACAGTACCACAACAATACCACAACAGTACCACAACAGTACCACTACAGTACCACAACAGTATTACTACAGTACCACAACAGTACCACAACAATACCACTACAGTACCACTACAGTACCACTACAGTATTACTACAGTACCACAACAGTATTACTACAGTACCACAACAGTACCACAACAATACCACTACAGTACCACAACAATACCACTACAGTACCACTACAGTACCACTACAGTATAACTACAGTACCACTACAGTACCACTACAGTACCACAACAGTATTACTACAGTACCACAACAATACCACAACAGTACCACAACAGTACCACTACAGTACCACAACAATACCACTACAGTACCACTACAGTATTACTACAGTACCACTACAGTATTACTACAGTACCACAACAATACCACAACAGTACCACAACAGTATTACTACAGTACCACTACAGTACCACAGCAATACCACAACAGTATTACTACAGTACCACAACAGTATTACTACAATACCACAACAGTACCACAACAGTATTACTACAGTACCACAACAGTACCACTACAGTACCACAACAGTATTACTACAGTACCACTACAGTATTACTACAGTACCACAACAGTATTACTACAGTACCACAACAATACCACAACAGTATTACTACAGTACCACAACAGTATTACTACAGTATTACTACAATACCACTACAGTATTACTACAGTACCACAACAGTATTACTACAGTACCACAACAGTATTACTACAGTACCACTACAGTATTACTACAGTACCACAACAATACCACAACAGTACCACAACAGTATTACTACAGTACCACTACAGTACCACAACAATACCACAACAGTATTACTACAGTACCACAACAGTATTACTACAGTACCACAACAGTATTACTACAGTACCACAACAGTACCACAACAGTATTACTACAATACCACAACAGTACCACAACAGTATTACTACAGTACCACAACAGTATTACAACAGTACCACTACAGTACCACAACAATATTACTACAGTACCACAACAATACCACAACAGTACCACAACAGTACCACAACAGTATTACTACAGTACCACAACAGTACCACTACAGTACCACTACAGTACCACAACAGTATTACTACAGTACCACTACAGTACCACAACAGTATTACTACAATACCACAACAGTACCACAACAGTACCACAACAGTATTACTACAATACCACAACAGTACCACAACAGTATTACTACAATACCACAACAGTACCACAACAGTATTACTACAATACCACAACAGTACCACAACAGTATTACTACAGTACCACAACAGTATTACTACGATACCACAACAGTACCACAACAGTACCACAACTGTATTACTACAATACCACAACTGTATTACTACAATACCACAACAGTATTACTACAATACCACAACTGTATTACTACAGTACCACTATAGTATTACTAAAATACCACAACAATACCACAACAGGACCACTACAGCACCACAACAGTATTACTACAGTACCACTACAGTACCCCAACAGTAGTACTACAGTATTACTACAGTACCACAACAGTATTACTACAGTACCACAACAGTATTACTACAGTATTACAACAGTACCACTACAGTATTACAACAGTACCACTACAGTATTACTACTGTACTACTACAGCACTACAACAGTATTACTACAGTACCACTACAGTACCACTACAGTACTACTACAGTACTACAACAGTATTACTACAGTACTACAACAGTATTACTACAGTACCAACACTGTACCACTACAGTACCACTACAGTATTACAACAGTACCACTACAGTATTACTCCAGTACTACTACAGTACTACAACAGTATTACTACAGTACCACTACAGTATTACAACAGTACTACTACAGTATTACTACAGTAACACTACAGGATGTAACGTTATGAAAATTTGACCTCATGGTTATAGTGACCAAAATTATCACGGTTTTCGGTAGGGATGAACCGATCCACATTTTTTCACTTCCGATCCGATCCCTATACCATAATTTGGATATCTGCCGATACCAATATTATTCCGATACCAGAGCTGTGTTTGCTTTAATATTATTATTATCATTATTGTTGATTTTATATGAGATGATATGAATAAACTCCTCTCCTGCAAGTATGATATGTACGTATGTATGCATGTATGTCCCAAAAGGCAACTTGAGATAAGTATAAGGTCAGAAAAACAAGAAATCCTGTTAACAGGAAAAATCCCATTCTGCCATGCAATAGGAGGTTGCTGCAGTTAGGTCTTGAGCTTTTTTGGATGCAGGTGCATAAGCAGACTGTTTTTGGAATGCTTGCTCAAGAGTCTGTGTCACTGATGAACCTGTAGCAGTACTTGGCTGCCCCACTGCAAGTCCTCTCTGTAAAAAAAAATAGCCATGTCCATTATTATTAATTATTAATATTATCATTAGGCTACCATTCATATCAATATTCATACGATTTTGCCTTTAGCTGTTATTGTTGCTAAATCAAAAGAAAACGATTGGCTAGAAATTAATTATCTTACTGGGCAAATAATGTTTTGCGTTTTCAAAGACACGTGGTTCAGACCGTCACTGTGTGACTAAGTCAATTAAAGTTATCCAACTTCGCTAGAATTAAATGATTTACTGAACTTAGGACAAATATAAATTATGCATTCTTGTAGTAGGACATTGAAACCTAGACGTGAAAAGGAAATCAAGAAATGCATGCAATGAAATACTGTAGCCTACTACTGTTTGATAAACGCAACTCAAACGGGCATCCGTTTAGCTCTGAGGCTAAAAATGTGTCCTGATTTGCTCCACACACCATCACTGAATGAAAATGTGCATTTTAGGTAGTTAATGCCGCAGGCATTTGTTTAGGTTATTGACAAGTTATTAACAAGTTAGACAGACGGATCATTGCATTCTCCTTCAACCCGAAGTCCCCACACCATGCATTTTAGCTAAAACTTTAACGTTAACTTACCTTGCATTGGCTATAAAGTTGTGGATGATAGTCACAGAGATGAGTCAGGAGATTCGACATATTGCCGCCTTTAGCAGCAACTTTTTTCCTGCACGTTCTGCAGACAGGATAAGTATCTTCAATCAACTGTCCCTCGGCATTCTTATAATAACCAAAATATTCCCATGCTTCGGACTTAGTCCTCTTAGAGGGCTGATAAATGTCCTGAGCGCTGTCCTCTCCTCCTTCTGCCATGATTCCAACTTGCACACACGTTGTAGGCTGCGCAGTGAGCCTGAGCTGTGAAGGATTAAACACACGGTTTCCACACCGTGATAATCAACCGTGATAATAATGATATTTGAAATGAAAACGGTAATTATTATCGTCAACATTTTTATCGTGGTTTACCGTTACACCGGTAATCGCTATATCTCTACACTACAGTATTACTACAGTACTGCTACACTATTAATCCAGTATTACTACGGCACCACTACAGTATTACTACAGTACCACTACAGTACTACTACAGTACCACTACAGTACTACTACAGTACCACTACAGTACTACTACAGTATTACTACAGTATTACTACAGTACCACTACAGTA